AAATAGTGTAGAACTAGAATAAATACAGACAGCTGGACCAATGGAATACAACAGAAAGCCCAGAAATAAACTCTTGAATGTATGGCTGGCTTAATGGTACAGGGGATTGAACCCAGGGCCTCCAGAATACAAGGGCTCTCCCACTGAGCTACATCCAAACCCTCAAATGTCTTTTGGCAAAGGTAAAAAGCTCATTCAATGAGGAAAGGACAATCTTTTCAACAAATAGTGCTGGAAAAGCTGGATATACACATGCAAAAGAATGAAGTTGGAACCTTACCTAATCCCATATCCAAAAATTTTAAAAGTGGACCAAAGATCTAAATGTAAAAGCTGAAGCTATAAAACTCTTAGAAGAAACATAAAGGGAAAAAGCTTCATGATAGACTTGGTAATGATCCTTGGATATACCAACAAAGGCACCAATAACAAAAGAAAAAGACAAATTTAAAGGCCTTTAGGCATTAAAAAGCACTAGGCAACTGACAGAATGGGAGAAAATTTTTGCAAACATATATCTCTTAAGAGATGGATATCCGTAACATACAGAGGTTCTTAGAACTCATTAACAAAAAAACAAACAACCCACATCAAAAATAGACAGAGAGGGCTGGGGATTTAGCTCAGTGGTTCTGCCGCTTACCTTGCAAGTGGAAGGTCTTGAGTTTGATCCCCGGTACCCCCCCAAAAAAGGACAGAGAAGTTCAACAGACATTTTCCTAAAGAAAATGGCCAATAAGCACACGAAAAGAGGTTCAATACTTAGTCATTAGGGAAATATGAATCAAAACTAAGACACCAGGAAATAACTAGTGTTGGTGAGGATGTGGGAAAATTGAACCCTTATGTACTGTTGCTGGGAATGTAAAATGGTACAGCTGCTGCTGAAAACAGTATGGAGATTCCTCAAAACATTAAAAATAGAATTGCCAAATGATCCAGCAATTCCATTTCTAGGTATGTACTTGAAAGAATCAAAAGCAGGGCTTAAAGGGTATTTGTTTATCACAGCATTGTTATAATATCCAAAATATGGAAGGAACCAGAGTGCCCACTGATGAATGAATAAACTAACTGTGGGCTATAAATACAGAATTATTTAGCCTTAAAAGGGAGGGAAATTCAGACACATACTACAACATGGATGATCCTCGAGAACATCATGTTAAGTGAAACAAGCCAGCCAGAGATGACTACTATAGGATGCCTGAGGTACCTACAGTGTCAAATTCATAAAAATAAAAAGTAGAAAAAGTAGAATGGTGGTTTCTAGGGCCTGGGGACAGGGGCAATGAGGACTTAACTGCTTTATCAGGACAGAATTTCAGTTTGGAAGGTGTTATGGTTTGGATTGAGATGTCCCCAAAACTCATGTGCTAATGGTTGATTGCCAGTAGATGGGCTTTTTGGGAAGTGATTGAATCATGAGGGCTCTAACTTCATCAAGTAGATTAATCCGTTGATGAGACCATAATTTGGTGGCATTACTGGCGTTATCGTTTGTTATGGCTTGTGTTTAGCTGTCCCCCCCAAAGTCTCATGCCAATGAGGTGGGGCGTTTTCAGAGGTGGCTGGATCTAGAGTGCTTGACTGACTCATGGTGGGACGAGGGTCTAGGGCACTAGGATTAAGGGCAGAGTGCTACCTGACCTAAGTAGTTTGAATAAGATAAAAGGGGCAGAAAGACACTGTTAAGGTTCCTTGTGGCTTTTGCTACTGTGTGGGCACCCTGAACTGTTTCTCCTTCATGACCCTCCTCTGCCATGTGCCACTCTGTCTTGGAGCCAGCAGATTATTGACTGAAACCTCTACAAATGGTGAGCTAAATAAACCTTTCCTCTTTTAACTTTAGGTGTTGAGTATTTTGTCTCAGCAACAAGAGAAAAGTAACTAAGACAACTGGGAAGTGACAGAAACAGAACATGGAGCCTCACTGAAGAGAGAGGATCATGGAGTTGTGACTTTGGGGACTTTATCTGGACCTCAATCCCTTCCTCTCTGGCTTTTTTCTTTTTGCTTCCTGGCTGTCCTGAAGTGAGCAGCTTTCCTTCACTGCATCCTTCTGCCACAATGTCCTGCCTTGCCACAAACCTAAAAGCAATGAAGTACCTTCTCATGTAGGGAAACTTCTGAAACTGTGAGCTAAAATAAACCTTTCTTCCTCTAAGCTGTTTATCTTAGGTGCATGGCACAATGACACAAGCTGACTAATATACAAAATGAAATGAATTCTGGACACAGATGGTAGTCATGGTTACACCATATTATGAATGTATTTTATGTCACTGAACCCTACACTTAAAATGTTTAAGATGGTAAGTGTTGTTATGTGAAGTTTACAACACTAAAAACACCGGGGATAAAAAAGAATGAAGTTCTTATATATACCACAATGTGAATGTGCCTTGAAGGCATACTAAATAAACTAAGCTAATCAGAAAAGACCACATATTGTATTATTCCATTCAGACAAAGACCCAAGCATGATCAAACTCACAGATGGAGAAAGTAGACAGGTAGGTGCCAGGGATTGGGGAGTGGAAATGGGCAGTTAGTGTTTTATGGGGACAGAATGTCTCTTTGGGAAGATAAAAAAGTTCTGTGAATGGAAGATGGCACCGTATAACTATGTGGATGTGCTTAATTCCAAATGGTTAAGATGGTACATTTTATATTACATATATTTTACCATACAAAATTTTTAGTGAGAATCTAGAATATTTGAACACAGGAATAGCTGGTGTGGTTGGAGCCCAGGTTTGGGGTGCAGATCCCAAAGGCCATGAGGACATATTTGGGATCACTAACTTTGTCCCAGAATAAAGTAATTCCACAGAAAATGGATTGGAGGAGTCTAGACTTATGGAGGTTCTTATGGTTTGAATTACAAACATCTCCCAAAAGGCTCACAAGTTCAGAGGTGAGGCTTTGGGAAGGTGATAGGACCATGCTGGTGCTAGCTTATCAATGGATTCATCCACTGATCGATACCCAAATGGATTGAGTTTATAGATGAATGGACAGTTGGGAGGTGGGGCCTGGCTGGAAGAAGTAGGCCACTGGGGATGAAACCTGGAGGAAGGGTATATCCTATACCTGGTCTCTGTCTCTCTCCTGTCCACCATGAGAAGTGACCGCTTTGTTTCATGCCTCCCACCATGATGCTCTGCCTCACCATGGACCCAGAAGCAATGGAGTCAAATGACCATGGACTGAAACCTCTGCAACTATGAGCCAAAACAAACCCTTTCTTTCTCTTTCACACCGTGCACATGATTTTTGGTTCAGCAAAGGAAAGCTGACTAACAGAGGTGTAACTGTCGAGGGGATCTACAGGTGTTTGAGAGAGAAATAAAGGTGATATAGTTTGGGGATGTGGATGTGGAGAGGAGAAGACAGAAGACACTAGCCAGGCATGGGGACACACACCCCGGTAATTGCAGTATTCTGGGAGGCCAAGGCAGGAGGATCACAAATTTGAGGCCACCCTGGGCAATGTAAATGACTCAGTGAGATCCTGTCTCAAAATAAAAAATGAAAAAAAGGGCTGGGGATGTAACTCAGTGCAAAGGCCTTAGGTTCAATTTTTAGTAACACCATTTAAAAAACAAACAAACAAACAAACAACCAGATTCAGCTAAAGTATCACACGAACAGCAACAAAAGTTGACAACATAGGTCAAAAGAAAGTCCCAGAAAACTTCAAAGAATTGAAAGCACATATCACAGTGTAGCTAAACTAAAAACCACTAATAAAGAGGTCATAAGAAAAATTAGTACTCTTCAAATCACAACTATTTTGAAATGAAGGTTAGTGAAAATACTATATACTGGAACTTTTGTGATGTAACTGGAGGAGATTCTATAGCCTGAATGTAGTAACCAATGAACTACACACCATAAGAAACTGTCCAGAACAAGATTTGGCCAAAGACAGAAGGAAAGAAATGATAAAAGGAAGAAATTAATTAAGCATACAATAAAGAATATTATCAAAGTTCTTGGGAAAGGCCAATAAAGTATACAAATCCTTAGGGAGACGGAGGGAGGATCACCAATAACCAATATCTGGAAAGAAGACAAATCCTCCAAATTGTAAAAATAAAAGCTATTATAAGCAATTGTATGGCAACTGATTTGAAAATTTAGGTAAATTTAGTGGAGGCATAGCAATTGCTAGGAAAGCAGAACTTAACAAGACTGTCAAGAAAAACCAGAAAATGCAAATGACCTTAAAACTGTAGAAGGAACCAGATCCCTAAATGAACACCTTTCCCACCAGGGACAAACAGATGTGTGACAAGTACAGCAAAACGTCAACCAGAGTATAGATAGTGGCACACAGGTGTGCACTGCAGATTTTCAACTGGTGTGTGCTCAAAAGCTTATAGACGGATGTTAACAACAACAAAAGTACGGCAGCCCTTAGCTTGGTCTAAGAACTTACTGAACATTTAAGGTGGAAATAATTCCAATATTTCAAACTCCCCCAGAAAATTCAAAGACAAGGGAAAAGTCCTCCGAGTACTGACACAAAAACGCACACCTGCCAAGATGTGAGAGCAACTCCTTGCCCTCCCCCTTGTCGGCTCCCCTGCCTGTGAGCTGAAGCCTGCCGCTGGCTGTCATGAGAGGGTGATGTGCACAACTGCTCCCTTTGCCAGCCTGAAGACAGACGAGTGCAGACAGAGATGTGTCTGTCCCCAAAGCTAAGGCTACACATGCAGCCCACATGGCAGGGTTTGCTGTAGCTAGGCTTTAGAGTCACAGTCCCGGCCTAGCCTGCCCCTTCCACCTGCTGGGGACCACAGGCAAGTCACGTATCTCTGACTCTGTACGAGGAGAGAGCCTCACTCAAAGGGCTGTGGTGATGACAAGCTCAGGTCACGAAAGCAAAGTGCTTTATGTGTACACAACTGGCACACTGGATGCCAGCAACTACTTCCGGTCACCATGCCCACTGCTCCACTCCGGGGCAGAGCTGCACCGCCTGTACTCACAGCCCGCGCCTCGCCGGGGGTCTCCATGCCGTGCAGCTTCTGTGTCTGCTTTAGCTGGTTGAGCGTGGGCTTCAGCTGCGCTGCCCCCGCCGTGTTGGTCGTCCACTCATCCACCAGCTTGTGCAGGTCATCGGTGAAGGTCCCTTTCTTGTTGTTGCTATTGTTCACCTGCGTCTGGATGTGCAGGGTGGGCTGGGGACCTGGCTCGGGGCCTGGGGCCAGGCTGCTGGTGGAGGACCCTGGGGAGTCACATACAGTCCAGGATTGGTGACGCCACACACTCGCCCAGCGCCACCGGTGGGCTGGCTTCAGTCATTTTTATGTGATGGCCAAGAAAATGGCCTCACTTTGCTCAGGCAACGCCTTGCTTCAAGAGGTGGTCTGGATCACAGGGCCCTGCTGCCCAGTTTTAGACATGTTGGGGCATTTGCAAATGACCTGGCTATGCCAGGCAGCCATTGCCCATGTCATAAGCCAGGCAAGGGGACAGACCCCGCACAGCTGGCAGCCTCTGCTCAGAGTTCTCTCTATGCCCTCTCCTGCCATTCCACCAGTCACATGGGGAACTCCTAACACAGCACTGGTGTCACAGGGACAGTGTCCAATTCCTCATGCTCTATCTGGCCTTGGCAGGCATCCTCAGGGTAAGAGGAAGGACAGCAGAAGCGGGAATGTTTTGCTAAGTGCTTAGCACCCCCAGGCAGCCTGCATGATTTGCATTTACATGAGTGAATTCTAATGGTCTGATTGTTTGGAACTCAAGATTAGGCAACAGCCTTTCCTTACTGGATCATATGGGGAAGAATACAGAGAGCTCCTGCTGAGGCAGAGAGGCGGGGGACCTGGAGCCCTGTGCTGAGCTGCTGCATTCAAAGTTTTGTGTTTTAATGACCAACACAGGGGTTTAAAAATTTTTTAATAATCATGTTTTCCCCCCTTCTTCCCCTACATACATCATTTCTAGTTGGTGATTTTGAATAAGCCAATTTAAAAATCTTTTTCTGCACTAATAAAAACTCCACCAAAAACTAATGACCATCTCTTTAAACAAGCTGTTCCAAAATGTAGTGTACTTTAGTGGCTAGCAATGACAAGGCAAAGACACAAACGACTGAAAATTAGTGATGAGATTTTACACACATAGAGCTATTTCTATATGAAAACTTCAGCCAGGAAATAAAAATGAAAATTTGAAAAAATTTTAAAAAGGAGCGAGAGGGAAAGAGAGAGGTGGGGGAAGGGAGGGGGAGGGGGAGGGGGAGGAGGAGGAGGAGAGAGAAGAGATGGGAGAGGTGTGAGTGGCCCAGGTAGACTAATACCCATTCGGTCCTTGTATCTCTCCTCGGGGGAAGCACTCATCTTTAGCACTTCAAGGAAATACTGATTCCTACGGTTTTGGAAAAGGAGCCAATTAATGATTGGTAATTTGTGGACATTCCGGAGAAGGACAAGCCTGTTAGATATGAACTGGCGAGGCCGCACAAACTCTAGGAGCCATGGAGACACAAAGGGGAGCCATGGGCAGCTATCCTGCCAGGCGGAAGCAAAGCAGAGCCTGAGGGGCAGGCACAGAGCAGGCCACCCTGCTGCGGGCCACCCTGCTGCGCACTAGCCACGAGAAAGCCCATGCGATGAGAGGGGACAAAGGGGGTAAAAAACCCAGATAATTACTACTGCTGTGTTCTTTGCCTAGGCAGAGACGCTTCAGGGCTGACCCTGTAAGGGAAAAACAAACGACACAAGACCACAGGGTTAGGCAGAACGGAACACACCGGTCACGCTACCACATTTAAGCAAAGTTGTCAGTGCGCAGGGAGGGACAGACACAGGCAGCAGTTCAGAGAGGAGGGCCGGCCTGGCCTGGGGTAACGGGGGTTGGCACCCCCAGAGTTAGTGTGCAGGCTCTCACAGGCTTCACTGAGGAGGCAGAGGTGCCAGGGCAAGGCCCCAAGCTTCGGGAGAAGTGTTTGTATCTAGAAGCATATTCCAGAAAAAGAAAAAGAGAAAGGAAAAAGAAAAGCAAAACAAGGGGGAAAAAAAAAAGCAAGTACACCACTTGGTTTTGAAAAGCCAGGCTTTGGGGAGCACCAATTGAGGCAGGAAAACCCACAGAGCCAGCCACAGGTCCCCTGACTAGAACTGGGCACTGCCTGGGCTGGCTGGCCACCGAAGCCACTGGAGGTTTTCCAAGTGCAAAAAGATACATTGTTTTGCAGGTCTGAGGCCAATTTTGGATCCCAGATGGCTGCTGTGGATGAGGTCAGATAGGGGCATCAAGTAGGGAAACAGGAGGGCTGACTGATTCTGGAGGACACTGCTTCCTCTTCCGTAAAAGTCCATTTCCCCCAGGGGCAAGTCGAGGGCTCCTCATTCCTGGACCACTACTAAGGGGATCAGTCCCCATTGTCCAGAGGCAGCCTAGTGTCTCTCAGGCAGGCAATACACTGAGTGTGACATCCGGCAGGGCCTGGAGGGATGGAGCCTGAGGTTGGCCAGCAGGTATGCTGAGAGGTCCTGCCACTCCAACTTACCCTACAGCCTCCCAGAAAGCTGAGACTACAAGGGCAAGCTCGGACGTCCCCAAGGTCACTCAGCAAAGCCACACTAGCACTGAGGATTTGCATTTCCATGCAGCAACAAGCCCACAGGAAGGGGCACACGGTTGGCACCATTCCAAAAGATTGGGAACATCTGGGGACCTGGAAAACCTGGTGACATCAGCATTCCTTCTCCTGCCTTGGGGAACAGTGGGCAAATGTTGGCCAAGGTCCACAGCAGAACTCAGTATATAAAAGATCTGAAACCCAGCTCCCACAGACTTACTTGACTTATTTAGTTCATTCTGTATCCCCTCTAAGGCTACCATGGTGAAAGTGAGGTGCTGTTTGGCTGCAGTCTTTAATAAGCAAAAAGGAAGGAAAGGAGGGATCCAGTCAGATCCACTCTGGATAAGAAAGGCAAAGCCACTTCCTTTTCTGGTCCACTTTTGAAACAAAGTGTTGCCTTCTGTGTAAGGCAGGAGCCCCTGGGGTCTGGCTGCAGACTGGGCTGGAGTCCTGAATGCAGGGCATTAGGAGAGCACCAGTGTACCCTCAGGCTTTGTGTGGGGTTGTAACTATCTGGCTGCCACAGCCCCATAGGGATGGTCCCAGGACAGGGTGGGGGGAGGAGGGAGAGAGAGAGAATCTCACAGGGTCCCCACAGCTGGGCTACCTTAGGTGCTTTAGATAAAGGCCACTGGCGCCCACATGGCAACTCCTAGAGTGACTGGCAGCTCTGTACTCTGGACTTGTTCTTGGCTATCGTCACACTTTCCTGTTCTTAGGCCTCAGGTGACCACAGCACAGTGGCTCCCACCATCCAGCCTTCCCTGTCTCTGTCCCCAGGTGACCAGAGCATAGACAGCTTAGCTCCAGTCTATACACAAAGCTCTTAGTGCTGGCCCCTTGATACCAAGGCCACATTCTCTGCGGCTCTCAGGCAGAGCCTCCAGGGCACAGGAACCTCCTGGTGGGGCAGGGACACGGTTCCTTCTGGACAGCACTGCCCAGCTGTGGACTTCTACTCCACCTCTCCAGAGCATCTCTCCCCTTGTCTGGGCCCTGCTGTGTATGTGCTCACCAGAGGGTATTTGATGGAGAAGCTCCCACTGGATCCCCAAAGGTAGCAATGGAGAGAAAGATGATGCCTCCTGATGCATGACAGTTTTAGCCAGGGCTCATCCTGGTGTCCCTCACTGGCCTGCTCCACCCTGCATCACGCTCAGGCACAAACCACACACTGTTCCTTCTGCAGTCTCCCCTTCTGCAGCTCGAGTGCCAGCCACCTGTCGAGTCCTTGGCAGGTGGCAAGGAGAACACCTCCAGCCTGAAGGACTCAGCGCTGAGGATGTCTGACTAGGACAGATGGCTTAAAAAGCAGGTCAGGCCTGGAGCAATTCCTCACATATGCTTTTTATATCTCAGTGTTCAAATACTGACAAAGTTCACAAGAACAGCAGGAGCATCTACACAAACCCCGGGGGTTGGCCCTCCTGGTACCAGGCAGCTCCGGCTCTGCATCCAGCTGACTTCTCATCCCTCTTACAACCTCCAGGGGCCATCCTGACCCAACAGGATGTCACACCCCTGGGCCAGCATCCATGGCTAAAACACCTTTCAGGCTGTCTCTGCATCAAGCATTTGCATTGTCAAGCTGAGAGAATCACCAAAACTGTCCATGATGCATCGATTCAGAAACAAGGACATGCCTTGGTCCTGTGGGGGGTGGTCTGGGGACACTTGTACTTGTCTTAGGCTGCACTGTGTTGGGTCCCCAAGGGCCTGCCTTTAGATAGCCAAACGCAACTGCCACTCTCTCCCGACCAGAGAGGGATAAGAACATCCCAATGTGGGCAGACAGTTGGGAGGCTGGGAGTGCTACAGGGGTCCCTGACCCAAATAGGATGCAAACAAAAGACAAGAAGAAGACAACATGAGACTCCACAGGTCCTGCATGCTAAGAAAGGTCCAGAGAGTGCCAGTGCTTGCCTCGTCAGAGGGAGGATACAAAAGGAGGCTGTCCGGGGGCGTAACCACAGCTTCTGACCAACAGAACCACCAGTGCTGCCTGAGGTTCTGGATCCCTCCTCTTGGACTCCTTTAGGACATACACAGTCACCAAGTCCCTCCATCCACAAGGAGTCCCATAGGTCAGCAGCTGGCGGAGGTCACACCTTCGCTGGGGGGGGCAGTCTGACAGAGGGTCCGCACTCCCGGGGCCTGCCCATTTGCTGCCCCTCTCCACCTACTCCAGCTCCTCTGGGGTCCATTCTGCCTCTGGAGCCAACTGTCCCTCTGCTTTCCTGCCCCAGACAGGTCCCTGCCCATCATCTGGCCTGGCTGCACCACCTTGTCTGGGGCTGTTTCTTCTCTGAGCTTCATGGAAGTTGAGATCTTTCTGCGCGTCAAAATTTCAAGCATGTTTTACTTTCCTGGAACCTCTTCTCTTCTGGGAAGTGGCAATGCCACACACTGCAGCAGTGGACCCCCGAACTCTGAGCCGTGTCAAGCCAGCACTGGACAGAGCCTGCTGCCCCTCCCCTGCCGCAACTCAGGCTCTAGCCCTCCCTTTCCTTGCAGTGTCACCGGACACCACGACCACCTGACACCCAGCCCCATGGCCATGCAGGACTGGAATCTTTTAGTCTCCTTATTATCTGCTCCTGCTGCCCCCACTCCAGGTGGAGGGTGGTTCCTCCTCCCAACCTCCCACTGCTCTGCCCCACTGCTGCAGTCCTCTTGTACTCATGGGACTTTGACTCTTCCTCCAGTCCCCTACATGTAATGCTCAGTCCCTCAATGCCACCCCCTCCCCTACTCTTGAGGGCTCCCCTGTTGGAGCCAGGAGACAGACGGAGGGCTCAGTGAGAATCTCAGGCTCTACAGCCCAGAGGCCAGTGGCACAGGGGACAGGGAGGCCCTTCCAATGGCATTCCCCACAGGCAGCAGGGGGAGATGGGTGGTTGAGCTGTCACCTTCCCAGTCCATGTGCTACAGCAGGAGGTACCCAGGGCAGGCACCCACCTGGGCTCTGCCTGACCTGCTGTGCAGGGCTGAACTGACCAAGCATGAAGAGGCTGGGCTGTGGCTCAAGCACAAGGCCTACGGGACTCATGAGGCTTGAGTGGGCCCCACAAGCCACACCTGAAGCCAATCTGCCAAGCCTGCCTCAGACATCCCATCCTCCTGGCCACCAGACCTTTGACTGTGCTCTGCTTCATTTTTGATTTTTAAATCTTGGACCAATGACTCAGTATAACCAATGAAAACCCTTAAACATGACCTTGGGTAAAGCAGTGGTCTGGATCTCAGAAGCACAATCACACCACTTTGCCTCACGAGCAGGAGGAAAGTGGCCATTTGATTTGCTCTGGTTCTCAAGACTGGCTGGCAGCTGCTCTGGGGATGGGAGACACTCAAAGTTCCAGGTGCTGTTACCCTGGGGATGAGCCCAATATGAGCCTCACATGTGCCAGGAATACCAAGAGAGGTCCCTGGCAAATAGGGACCAGGATGGGGCCAGCCTGCAGGAAAGAAAGGATGACAGAGGGCAGCCTCCAGACCCCTCCCCATCCTCAACTCAGCAACTGACTGAAACCCTGAGACACACCACTAGCCGGATGCTTGTGATTGCTAGTGGCTCAGATGGGGTAGTCTACTAAATGGACAGAAAGCCACTGGAAGCCTCTAACGTTGCCATAAGGCCCCGTGCCCTTGCCCTGTCCCACCAGGAGAGTGACAACCAATATGGGTCTCTGATGGAGGTGGGGTGGGATAATGGCAATGGTCGCTTACTGCAGATGTGGCCTCTGGGTCCCAACAAACACAATGTATCTTTATTGTACAAGCAAAAAGTTATGTGCCCCAAACCAGCATCTCCAATCCAACTGCCAAAAAGCTCAATGTTTGTTTAAAAGACAAAAATCTAAAAACTCCACAGCTTGGCTAGGGGGACCAATCACTGTGAGGGTTAAAAACAAACTGAACCACAGTGGGTGGCCCTAGCAAGTGTGCCCTCCCAGGAGAGTCCTAAGGTCTCTTCCGAGGGTGGAACTGGGCTTGGTTTGGTGGAGGTTGGAGGAGTTGTGTCACTGACTCCCTCCCTGATCTCCCATGGGTCATTGGGAAACAGAGAGCAAAGTGCTCCAGCTGGGTGGTAGGGGACAAGGAGCAGGCAGGACACTGCACCAAAGGAAAAGCCTCAGGGCAAGATGTCAGTTTCAACTTTTGGAGCTGGAGTGAGCAGATTATAGAGGGGATCATATTTCTGTGTTGGGGGAGGAAGGACTTAGGAAGCCCCAGAATATTTTCTTCTTTTTCCAGTGCTAGGATTGAACCCAGGGCTTTGCTCATGCTAGGTAAGCGTTTTGATACTGAGCTACATCCTCAGCCCCAGGGGCAGGTTTCTAGCTTCTCCATATGCAGGGCATGGGGATGGTGGGCAGTCATAGGACTGGGTACTGGGCTTCGGCCCCTGTAAGAGGTCACACCCTACAGGAATCTTCAGGGCAGTGTTGGCTGCTACATGTATGCTTTCAGAGCCCAGACACATGTGCAGCATACCATGTATCTAGGAAGGTTGGGGTTGTCTTTTTGTTGTCACTGGAATTGGGGGACAGCAGACATGTATACTGGCCACAATTGCAACAGAAAAGAAAACTAGGTCCAAATTAAAAAAAAATAAATGAGGTGACGGAAGGAATGCAGAAGGCCCTGGCACATGTGGGTGGAGGGGCCTGGATGGAGGCAGGCTCGCCACTACACATGCTTTTGGTGCCCGGGCACAGCCAAGAGCATGCACACAGCCATCTGGGCTGGGGTGGGCATGGACAGTGGCATTCAGTGGGAAGGACTCATGGGGTCCACCTGTCCTATTGAGGGTTGACTGCCAGGGGTCGGGGAGGCATCCTATGAAATGTATGAGAGGAAATGAAGACAGGAAGTGGGGAGGGGAGAAACCAAGGGCTGGGAGGTGGGAAAATACAAAAGAACAAATACAGACAGATGGACACAGATACGGGTCCACTGAGGAATCGAGCACGAGGCTTGCTACTAGACTTATAGGTCCCCCTCTCAGACGTTGGGTGGTAAACCGTCCAGCCTGCAAATGAATATAAAGGGAAGAAAACAGAGAGACACTCATCAAGTACAGGTTGCTGCGATTCCTCCTCCACACCAACAGACACACCAGCCTCGCAACTAACCATCCACGGCTCCACCTAGCCCAGCCCAAGCACCACAACCACCAACCATGGAACGGGAAGGAGGCAGCGGGAGGAACGGAAGAGAAGCGGCCCGGAGGAAAGGAGTGGGGCACCTGCCTCGGTCACCATGATTTCTCTGGACAGAGACGGTGAGGACAGGAGAGTGCCTTATTGAGCAGGTGCTGCCGGCCACGACAGTGTTGATGCGACAGCATTTCCTCCCCAGGGCCACACTCCCAGCTGCAGAGCTGAGCCCTTGTCCCCCAGCTGTCCCCTGGACTGTGGAAGGACCTGGTGTTTAGCACCATCAGGCTCTGCTGCAGGGCAGCCAGTGCCTAGGAATGGGGGCCACGGGCCACAGGGAGATGCCAGGCCCCATCTTCTCCCTGGTCATTGGGCTGATCCCTCCCGGTCCTGGCCACCTCCCCAAAGCCCGTACTAAAAAAACCATCACCTGCTTCTGAGCCACTTACAGAAAGTCCTGGTGATGAGGGGACAATTTTCTTCTTGAATCCAAAGACTACATCTTTTTCTTGCCTTATTTTTTTTCTTTTGCAAAGCTGCTTAGCAGCCTTGGCTGCGGCCCTGACCCCCTTGACCCACATGGGAATACTCCTGGGACACCACTGAGGCCCTACGTGGCTGGCACATGCTTGGAGACAGGCAAGCTGGAAATCACCTTGGCCACGAGCTCCGCCTCCGTCACTGGCTAAGCCGGAGCAGATGTCTGTGGACAGGGAGGCTCGGACGGAGCAGGGCTGCTGGGTTTGAACTGCCTTCGCACATGGGGGCGTGCTGGCGTGGGCAGGGTCCTTAGCGGGAGGGTCTCTGCTGGAGTCAGACAAGTGACCTGGGCGGGGAGGGGAGAAGAGGCGACATGCCATGAGGTGCCACCAGGGAGGGGAGGGCACGGGCTGGGTCTGTGTTCTGCTCTTTGCTGGGTGACCTCGGAGAAGTGCAGAGTCTCCTACAGACAACTGGCACATGGACAGCCCATCTTTTGGATGGGGATGTTGAGGACAATCAAAGAAAGTACCCCATCTCCACTGACACCCAATGCCATGCTGGACTTTGGACCTGTCCCATGTAGTAAGTAACAGGCTTATACATGGACTCAAAGTGGCCTGTGCCACTCTCACCGTAATAGTTCTTCCTGATATCCAGGACTTGGTACTAAATCCAGGTAACCTGTGTGACTCGGGGATGGCTTGCATTTAGGGAGTGTTTGTGGTTAACTCACCAGTGCCTTCCTGCCTGGCACTTTTGGAAACTTGGGCTCACTGGGTCTCCACCCTAGACTGCTGGGACTGCTGGGAGTGCTGGGAGTGCTGGCCAGGGTGCACTCCACAGTGCCACTCAGGATGATCAAAGGAACTCGCGATTGCATGGATGCTGCCCAGAGCCAGGCTGGCACAGCCCCAGGCACCGGGTGCCACCCTTACAAGTCTAGGAGGACAATACCATCCTCTCCTCACCCCAAAGACATGTGCCTGAGATATAGGTCAAAGGGAGCAGCCACCTTCTCTGTCCCAGTCAGCATCCTGCAGGGAAGAGCAGGTAGAAAGAATGATCTCAGGTTTCCCTGGCACACCCACAGCCCAGGGGTGGCTGAGAACACACCCTTCTCACTCAGCGCTGAGGCCTGGCTCCAAGCAGGTCCTACCAAAGCCCAGGCCTGGCCCCTCTGCACCAAGCACAGAGGTTCAGGGCCTCCCGGGGCCCAGAGTGATCTCCCCACTCCAGTGAGAGGATTCAGAAAGAAGAAAACCCCAGATACTCTTCCAGATCTGGGGGTGTCACACCTGCACAGAGCCCGCCTCCCAATCCCCCTCAGGGGCCCCCACCTCCTCCCAGCCAGCCCCAGTGCAGTACTCCTCCCAGCAGGCCAACCTGTGCTAGAGGCCACGACCTTGAGCTGCTGTACCAGCGGGTTGAGCAGCTTGCCAGCCTTCAGCTTGCCCTTGCTGGTTTTTCTCCGACGGCCAGTGGGGGGCGCCGTGTGGAAGAAGCCCACGTTGGGTGGAAGTGGCTTGCCCAGGCGGCAGTACAGAGCCTCAATCTCCTGCTTCTGCTGGCTCTGTAGCTCTGAGATCTCCTTCAGGTGCCTGGGGAAGGAGAGAGGAGGCAGGGCAAGTGGGCTTCCCCCATAGGTGGGGGCTGGCGGTGGGGAGAAAGGTGACATAGGGTTGGCATCCATCCCTGCATCTCTTTGGGGGCCACTTAGAAAGGCCACATAGGGGCATTAATGGCACTGTCTGGTAATGGCACTGTAAGCCAGGCAGGTGCAAGGCCAAGGGCCTCAGGCACCGATACACTCAACAACACAGCTGAGCTAAGGGGCTTCATTTGAAGATACTCAGAATTCTCATCGCTACACTATCTTTATGGCCAGGGAGCCCAGGGGACTCCACATGTATCCGTATTCTTGCAATGAAAGCCCTATGCACCAGCACAGGTGAAGAGAAAGTCAGCTGGTGCTTGGAACCCAAGGGTTGCCTCGGTTTATCAGGCTAGACATATGACTTGCCCGGTGCATGGCAGCTGAAGGTGTGGGGAAGGCATCTTGGGTGTTACATAAGCGAGCTGACAAGACAGTACTGGCTGGTGGCCAAGCTGAACACTACCACTGGGTCCACTGCGGTGGGTTTTGGTGAAGATCAGGTGGAACGCAGGAGGATCACTGGGCATGGGCAAGGGTGGACTGGGGGGGGGGGAGTGCTGCTGGGACTCCCTGGAGACTCTAGTCAGAACATATGCCGTCTCCCTCACTGCCCTCTGGCACCGTGCGCTGAGCTTTGGGAGGTCTGACACTACCCCCATGGTACGCAGCCAGCCCAGATGGGGCCACAGCTCCTCAGCTCCTTGCCCTGGTCATTTCCTCCACCTTTTATGCTGGGAAAACAGGTGATTTTCACGGTCATAAGTGAGGAAGCAAGTTCTGACTTTTGCTAATACCAAACAAAAACAGAAAACAAACCATCTTATAACTTCAAAAAAATCCCTAGATTCTGCAGGGTTAAGGGGCAGATTCTTTCCTTCTGTATCTCTAACACCTGCCACATATGTTTGAGAAAGAAAGGCTTTCTTTACCTATTAAAAATAATACATAAAAATAACAAAACACAGAGTGGTTTTCTCCCTACAAACAGCAGGGAATGACAAATCGCTATGTGCTTGGGATCTGCATGGGCAAAGGAGCAGCACTTCCAGAGAGAGGCTGGCTGCTGGTAGTGGTGGTGCTGGGCCAGCAAAGGGGGCCTCTTATTCAGAATCTAAGGTCAGAGCTCTGTGCTGAGGCCTGACATCTGTGTCCCCAGAGTCCCATTGCTGCTGCCCTGCTACCCCTGCACATGTGCTGCCCCAGTGCTCGGGGCCCAGGAGTCTCAGGCGTCTGAAAGCACAGGCTAGGCTGAGCCTTAAGAAGTCCCAGTGCACGTGTCAGAAACCATGCGGCCCTCACACCTGCACACTAACAAGGTGTCCAGGGACTCTTAGGCAAGAGAGGCTTGGGAATAACCGGCTGCCTTCTAGCAGATGCCAGCAGGTCCTCTCAATTTTAGATTGGAGTCCCAATTCTCCCCCATCTCCTCTTAAAAGATTACCCTTTTCCACTGGGCTCCAAGGCCCTCTTGGGAACAACTTCCCCTTCCTGCGTTTCCTCAGTTCCTTCCTTAGAGGTACTTCTTACACTCCCTTCTTCCCTCCTCTTGCCTCCCCCTTCCTGGGTCCTCAGCCATCTCTAAACTCCAGTGACTCTAGGACCCCGCCCCCGGAACCCAGGCCATCTTACTCAGGGTACAAGCTCTCTGCTGGACTCCATTCCTGGATGATCTCGTATCCAATGCTCCCTTTGCACCCTGACTGCTGGCTCCCCAGGGGAAATCCCACTGAGAGGCTGTGCCCAGAAGTCCTCTCCTCTGCCCCAAAGGTTCCCAGCTGGTGCTGGCCTCAGCCCCTCCACTCTCTCGCCTGAATGAAAGCTCTGCTGGGAGGCATGGTCCCTGCTGCCTTCTGAGAGCCCCTGAGTCCAGCAGACTGTCATAACCCCCTGCCTTCCTGCCTCCCCCAGGTTACAGCTCATCTCCTTCTGGACCTGCTGAACTCTTGTGGTTCTCAAAGCCCAAAGACAAGGCTTCTCTCACCCATATCTTTTATTTCTGAGCCCAGTTATACAGCGTGGGCAAATAGGCTGTTCCACAGGCATTGTGGAGTCCCGTCAGGCACACCCCAGACATGTACTGTTAGGCCGCCTTCCTGCCCCAAAGGACATCTCTAGGTAGCAGCAACCCCAACTATGGAGAAGAGAGGCAGAGGCATAGTAAGGTAGAGACATAAAGAGAGAAGAGACAGAGAGTGAGGGGGTAGGGAAGGCATGTGTCTCGGACAACCTGCAGTGTCCTCCCTGAGGGCGACAGAGGAAGAATTCTGGCTGTTAAGGGAGGAGCGGCCCTCAGAAAAGAAAGAAAAAAGCAGCCTCCAGAGACAGCTGGCCCACCATGGAGGACGCCCTGACTGGGGACTTCTGCACATGGCCACAGGATGGGTCTGTGTGCGCCGTGTCACCTGGACCAGCTGCTGTGAGCAGACCTTAACCTCCACCCCAACGCTCCCCATGGCCCAGCCTGACCAGTGAGCCCCCAACATACTTCTCCCGCAGACTGCGTAGCTCCTTCTTGATGTCAGCGTCCTCAAACTCCGAGTCATTGTCGCTGCTGATGTAGGATGACTGAGAGTGGAAGGAGGTGACGCTGATGGTGGGGACCTTCACACTTGCCCTGCTGGGTGTCTCAGGGTCCAGGGATCCGGCCCTGGAGGACCTGTGCAGGAAGGCGGTGGCCTTCTTCACCAAGTCACTGGCCACAGCACCAGCACTGGGCAGGGAGGACTGCTTCTGCACCGGGGGCCTCCTCCTCAGGCACTCGTCCCCAGAGTCACTGGATGCAGGCTCGCCCACACCGACCTCGATGGAGGAGGCCGTCTGCACCCGCCGCACAGCCAGCTTCACATCAGGGGTGGAGGGGAGCTCATCCAGGTAGACGTCAGGCGGGGCAGAGTACCTCAGGCTGTGGGGGGAGGCCAGCGTCCACTCATCCTGTGAGCTCACCACTGAGAAGCGGCCCACGGTCTTGGCTGGTGAGCTGCCCTCCTGCTGCCCTGGCCGCTTCCGGGAGGACCCCGAGGTCCGAGTGCCATGTGTCTGGGGGCAGCTGAGTTGGCCACCTTCTGTGACTATCCCCAGGTGGCTCTGTGTGGGCTCTTCTGAGGCTTCCCTGGGGACCCTGCCCTTCTGGCCTGTGGGCTGTATGCATGCAGGGCTTGCAGAAGCAGGAACAGCCTTTGGAAACAAGCAGAAAAGAAGAGATTCCGTGAGAACACCAGCTGAAAGCAAACCCCACCAACTGGCCAAGTGGCATGGCAAAAGCATCACTTACCTTGGGGGCACTGGGTGGTGCAGGCGGGTCTGAGGCCACCTGTCCATCACTGTCACAGCCCAGTGTGTTGCTGGAAGACGACTCTGCTGTGGGAACACCAGCAATGTCATGGGGCTGGTGGACAAGGAAGAGACCCACCCTGGGTAGGGAAAGGGAGCTGGCAATCAAAGGGGCTACTGTGTTTTTAAAACCCCAAATACCCATCGATGCCCTAGCCCTGGGCATTCAGTGCATGTCACTTCATGGAAGATACCTACAAACCTGGGGGACAGCAGAGGCATGAGCTGGAGCCCACTCAGGCAGCCAGGCCCCTGGAAACCAGTGGTGACACCCCGTTTCTTCAGGTGAATTTTGACTCTAAGAGGGACTCATGGGGCAGAAGGTGGGGCTCATTTCCAACCCTGCTCCTGTGGTGTCTAGGGAGTGCGCACTGCACCTGCAGCTGTCCCTGTTCTCCATCTACAGAATGGGGGGACGGGGAGGTCACAATGCTTCTGGCCAGCTCTCCTGGGATCATCCTGAATAGCCAATGACAGAAGCCCAGCAAGCTGATACCCCATAGAGCAAAAGAAACTCATGTACAAGCTGGGTTAGGGTTAGGATGTCAAATTCCTGGGACAACAACCTGTCCAGTCTCTGACAAGTGTCCCAAAACTGTAGACAACACTTGACTCTTTTCCTCACACCCCTGTGGGGGGCATCATCCAACCCATTTCTGCATACATCGAGGGACATGAGACTCACTATGAACTGTACTCCCTCTATTTCTAGACAGCTCTGACTGGTAGAAAAACTCATTTGTTCTGATCTGAGTCTCTCTTGGAGCTTCCCCATGAGTTCTGCACCAGGGAAGATTTCAGATTTTGGAATGCAAATTACACTGCCTGAAGGTTACAAAAGTTCAGTCTCTTCATTTTTCTACAGGGCTGAGGGATAGCTCTCACAGTGGGAAGTCAGCAGGCATAAGGTGACAGGGTAGCTGGTGGGTGGCAGGATCAGGCCTCTCCTGCTTCTGCCCTGACCCCTACCTTCCCTAGGTTATATACTGCTAGCTCCTCACGTGCACAACTTCAGAGCCCCACCGTAGGCCACCCCTGCCCCTCATAACCCTTGGCATCTGGAAATGCATGCAGTCATCCTGTGGAGTTGCAGGAAGAAGCCAGTCCGCTCTTTTTCCTGCATGGGCGCAGCCGGGAACTGTGGGATCCCACCTATTGCTGATACAACCCAGGTCTCTATTTCCAGGCTCCACTGGATACTGAATCTTATCTTGCCCAGGACCCAAGAACTCCCAGGCTAGAAAGGGCCCTGATGCCTTAGAGGGTGAGCAAGCTCCCTTAGGATAGAGACTCAGGCCATCAGATAAGGAAAGAACTGAAGCAGGAGTCTATACAGAGGTGCACTGCAGCTGGAGCCAGAGTCAGGGGTGATCCCTGTCAGGGGACCACCCGGCCTTTGCCGCTTCCAGGAGCTCCCAAGCCCTATCCCTATCCCCTCCTCTAGCCAAAATAACCACAAGTGTTCTGTGGGCATCAGGAACCTTGTTGAAGAAACCCGAGGGCCAGGGATACCCACTGTGTTTGCATGCTCAGGCGTCAGGGACCTTGGGGGTGGGAGACACAGTCCCTACAGTGTCCTAGCATGTTCCCAGCTGGCCTTCTGTGGAGTATGAGCATGTTGTTCCCTCTAGAACTGTCTCAGGGCCTCTGTTGTGTCTGAGCCCTCCCTAGGCACTCGATCCTTTCATCGTGAAGGGACCCTCCTGCACCTGAAAGCATCAAGGTGACAGTACAGAGGCTGGAGGCTCCTGGAGCGCGCAGGGCCTGTGTGACCTCAAGCTCGTTACCTGTCATTGGAGAAGAGGCACCCTGCTCCTGCTCCTGCTCCACTGGGCCCCATCCTGCAGGGGTTGTCTCTGATTTTTCCAACTGCAAGAGAAACAGGATGCAGTGCCATGAGAGCTCTCATCAACATGTCCACAGCTTCACTACAGATGTGCTTCCCCTATGGCAGCACCCATCTCCTTAGACAGACAGCTGGGCTGGGCTCAGGCAGTGTATGCAGGACCTTGAGCAGAGACCACTTATTGCACAGGTGGGTCACTAAACAGGCTGAATGTGGGACAAGGGTGGTCCTGCATAGCTGGGATGCCTGTCCACCCCAACAGTGCCCCATCCTGGAAACATCCTCTTGGGTGAATCTAGCTACTCACTGAGGGCTGGGGTGGCCGGGTGAGATCTGCCCCCAAGGCTTCCCTGTGGGGTCCATCTCCTCTTGGGGGTTCCAAGGAGAAGTCTCTGTCGCCTGCCTCCACAGGGGTCCCGGCTGAGGCTGAGGAGGTAGGCACGTGCTCCTGGTACAGCAGAGTCCGAAGCTTCTCATCCAGGCTCTTGATGGTGTTGTCCACGAAGCCCACCCTAGGGGGCGGCCCTTCTCCATCTGACTCCAGGGCCAACGGCGGTGGGGGGGTGGTAGCAGGCCCCAGTGGGGGGCTGGGGAGCTGGGGGACAGCCAGGCCAATGGCCCCCACTGCGGTGGGGAGTGGAGGTGGTGGCTGACCCACAGCAGGCTGCAGGGGCCCACCGGGGGGGCAGGGCCCTGGCACCACAGCAGGCAGTGGCTCCCCTGGAGTACTGATCTCCCTGTTTGAGGAGGGCTCCCCTAAACCTGTGGGACAACTGGAGACCTTTGGAGGCAAGGTGGAAGGTCCTTGGCCTGTGCTGAGGGGCTGTGTGGCATGCTGGGTATCATGAGTTTCGGCCAGTGGCTGGGTAGTTTCATGCTCACTGGCTGGCCCCTGAGAGGTCCCTGGACCCTCTGCCTGGATGGCAGTCCCTGCTGCTGGCTCTGGCACAGTGCTGGCTGGTGCTGCTGCATCTTGGGGCACCACAGTTACGGGAGATGAGGGTGGTGCCAAAGGGGCTGGTGTCCCACCCGGAGGGTCACTGGGGTCTGCCTGGCTCAGGAGCTGCTGGCCAGCTGGGAAGCTGGGTTGTTCCTTTAAAAACTGGTCTGTGTAAAGTGCTGGGTCTAGAAGAAATAGGAAAAATGCCTCAGTACCCACCCACTCTGGTACTATTCACTGTTCCTTCCCTGTCCACAGAAGTGCCCTCCTTACACATCCTAGCTGGGGCCCCTGCAAGCTGGTCCCTGCCCGCCTGGCTGCTGCCTTCCTGGGATGCTCTCCGTGGACTTCTCACCTCCTGGGCTCAGCCCCAGTCATCACCCCCACACATCTTTCTGTGGCCCACGACTGTCAGCTGCATTCTCTTTTTGTTCATCTGTGTGTCCAGACCCTCCCTGCTAGGTGATCTCCATCAGATACGGCTCTTGCCATCTTGCACTGGCCTATTCAAAAAACTTCTCAATGTGCTCATGAAGTTAAGTAAGGTGTTTTCCAAACCCACTCAGCCTCAGGGCCCATCTTTCCTTCCTTTAAAACAGCTAACCCTTTGTCTTTGTAACACATGACTAGAAAGTGCACAATATGGTAACTACAGGTACCGTGTTGTTCGCCACATTTCTGGAACTTACCTAGCATACCTGGCAGCCTCCATTCTACTCTCTCTGAATCTATTTTAGACATCTCACATAAGCAGAATCAGGCTGCATTTGACCTTCTGTGACTGGCTTAGTTTGATTAGTATAAGGTCCTCTAGGTTCATCCACACTGTTCCAAATGGCAGGACTTCCTTTCTAATGGGCAGATAATAATCCACTGTATATCTACACATTTTCCGTATTCACTCATTTGTTGGTAGACATTTAGGGTGCTTGCATATTTTGGCTATCGTGAATAATGCGGCAATGAACACGGGAGAGCAGTTATTTCTTCCAGATTCTGCTTTTACATCTTAAGCACATACCCAAAAGGGGAACTGCTAGATCATTTGGTAGTTTTACTATAATTTTTGAGGCACCTCCACGATGTTTTCCATAATGGCTGTACTAAGTTCCCTTGCCACCAACTGTGTACAGGGCTCTCCTTTCTCCACATTCTTTCCAATTCTTTCTCACTCTGTCTCTCTCCCTCCCTCCCTCCCTCCCTACACACACACACATGCACCATACTAACAGCTCTCTGATAGTATCTCACTGTGGTTTTGACTTGTATTTCCTTGATAGTTAACTAAATTGAGCAACTTTTCATATGTTAACTGGCCATCTGGATAACTTTTTTAATGACATACATGTCCAAGTTTCTTATTTTTTTATTGATTTTTCATCCTTTTGATCTGTACCATTCTTTATGTGTGCTGAATAAGAATGTTTATTTAATGCGCTGGTTTTTCCTGGCTTTTGCATTTCCACAAATATCAAATGGTCAGCTTGCTGATGCCCATTTCAAAAGGTTCACATTTTAACTAGGATCACATGGAATCTATGGATCCATTAGGGAGAAGTAAAGTGTTTATAATGTTGAAACTTCCACTGCATGAACATAGTATAAATGTTTCTGGGCTCCAAGTTCTCAGATTACAGGCATGTGCCACAACGCCCAGCCGTAGAACAGCTTTTTAAAATTTATTTTTCGGGTTCCACTGCTCCCAGCCAAGAGGGAGGGGGTTTCCAGCCGCCATCCAACCACTCCTAGCCCAGAAGTAGGGGCTTCCAGGCCACAGTCCCACCACTCCCAGCACAGAGGAGGTGAGCAGTGCAGGCGCCAATAGTATCCCCACCCCACCCCGGTCAAAATGAGAAGACGCGTAAACAAGTCTCAGAGCCAGACTTCCAGATCACCTACAGCAACCCCAAAGGGAAATGAGATGGAACACTGTGATACTCAACCACCTGGACCCACTGAACTGGCAACAAAAGGGGATCTGGAAAAAATGAAATCAGAAATAATTTCTCACATA